CAAGAAGAATATTCCTTTCAGATCAAAGTGAGCATCAACAATGGTTATTACTGCACTTTTGAACTAAATATCTGAAAATCAAACACTTGCAAGAGATTGAAGATTCCACTACCATGCTCTTTGCATGGCATGGCAGGAAGTCACAATGGCCTAGTACTTGAACTAATTCTGTATAAACTATGCTCTTCCTTAATCCTTTTCTCTCATAAATTTTGAATTCTACAACTTCATTGGTAGCTATCATCAGATTAAACATCATGTTCATAGGATATTTTTTGCTTTCTGCCATTTCTACCTCCTCCTTCTGGAATTCTCTCCTTTTCTTCCTCTATATCTTGGAGTAGGTTCACCTGTCTTCACACCATGATCAAGAAAATACAAACTCAATTAAGTCTCATAATAATGCATGAGAGATATTATGCCATGTAATGTATGATGCACATGAATTGGAACTTTCACAAATACCAGCCAAAAATCTGAGATAAATTAAGCAGAAGACTAAAGGGAATCACTTACCATCTTCACATACCTCACATACTTCATTGTTTTGTATCCTCACTCATTGGTAATGATAGTTTACATGACCGACCTTGTGGACACGAACAACATAAAAGACACCTCTGATTAAAAGACTCGATGAAAGATTCAGCTTGAATAAACTATCTTTTCCCTTAACCAATACTCCAAACAGATAATGCAGATTCTTGTTGAGTTTAATTTCCATATACTTTGAGTCTAACACTTCATTTTTCATGTGTATGCCATTGATGATATATGATGTATCAAATGAAATATAAGCAAAATGCAGTATATACTAACCCCAAAACAGAAATTCTGGTAACTGGTATCAAAGACAGAGGAGTCCTCTGCCTTCCCAAATTTCATCTCAGTGGAATTGCGTTTATTTGAACTAGAACTTTCACTGTAAGTCATGTAAGCAGATGAATTAGAGCAATCGGCAGAAGAAAGAGAGGGGCTTCCATCCAATCCAATATCAGCTTGAAACATGTCTTCAAACAACTGATGCAACTCCTCAAAGCTCTCCTCTCCATTTTCCTGTTATTTCACATATAAATTCATCAATAGTCTATGCTCAAATACGCTTCTAGCACCAACCTTTAGATGCTTTCAATTTTTTCAAACTTCTACTAGATTATCATACCAAGGATCATTCTTTCAAAACTAGCAAAAACTCAATGGAGTTCTCAGACCGATAGTCACAGTTTAAAATATACAACAAGAGTTAATTTAGTTTTACATGTATGGAAAACACGTTATTGAAAACTTTGATGATTCTAATTTAGCCAAGAATGATAAAAGGCGTGTTGGCTAACTGGCCTTCAACTACTTGCTGTTTTGGCATGCTGCAAGAAACTTCATTATTAATNCTCTTAACTTTCATTAAAAATTAAAATTAGTTTATTTTTAAAATTTTGGATTAATTTAGTTTCTATTTTTAAAATGTGTGAATTTAATTTTTTTTACCAAATTTTGTTAAGTTTATTTAAGATTTCAAATGCGTTTTTTAACTAATATTGAAGAAAAAATGTGTCAAAAAATATAAACAACTCAAATTTTGTTATGATGTGTTTAAAATATTAAATAAACTTAACAAAATTTGGTTTAAAAGACTAAATCTACATATCTTTAAAATTGATTGACTAAATTGGGTCAAAATTTAAAAAAAAATAATTATAATTTTATTAAAAGTTAAGGAAAAAAAACATTACATAATATAATTATGAAAACAGTAAATTTATAGATCTTCTAATTTAAAGTGATCAATTAATAAATAAAAAAGTATTTTTTTTAATAATAACTAACATACCCAACACAGATATGTCACAGCGTGACTAACAAAAATTCTTTACTAAAGTTTCAACAATTTTATTATATCATTTAAATAATTATTAAATATCTTTTAATAACATACTTCTAACAATTATATTTATTATTTAAATAATATAAAGACCTTATAAATACACAAATACTTGTTTGTTTAGATTTATTATCAAGACGAATCATATTATCAATATAAAAACTTTAATATAATAAATTTATAGATATTTTATTTTAAAGTGGTTAATTAAGAAATAGGTTTAAACTCTCGACTGGTCCTCATTTTTATAGTTGAGTCTTTATTTTTGCAACTGTCTCAATTGGATCATATTTTTTGTAAAAATTGTTTATGCTGATGTGCATTGTTTGATTAGATGAAATTTTTATTTAAATTAAAAAATTATGACGTGACAAAAATGAATTGGTTTATATTAGAATAATATGTTAGGGATTGAAAAGGATAAGAAAAGGAAAGAGTGAATTGAAAAGGGAATTAGAGATCTGGACATTAACCACCGAACGTTCTTCATCAAGTCAGGCCATAGGCCTCCCTGTCGGCCGCCGGTCATGGTCGGAGCTTCGTCGGCGGCAATCTCTCTTTGTCTCTCTATCTCTCTCTGAAGTTCAGATTCTCTCTTTCGCTCTGGGTTGGAATTGAGTCTCTCCCATCGTTGTTGGTGTTATGAGTGATGGGTATGCCCTGCCGCTGTTCCCACACCTCACACATCACCGAAATCATCATTACCAGGCAAATGATAATGTATAATCCATTAAAACCAAATAGAATTTGCCATAGTCAAATAATCTTAACTTCAGATTTTAATGAACCAAGGAATTCATTCGAAATAACATCAATGATATACTTTCATGTCTAAAGTTGAGCAGATTTCTTTCAAAGGCAGTTTTGTTCTATTAGTATTTAAAATGTCATTAATTGACCTTTCAATCACTGACCAAGTTAAAATATTGGAGTAAAACATAATTCTCAAACCAAAATACTGTCACAAAAATGATAAAAGAAAGGAGTCAATGAGTTATTTTGAAGATTTCCAAAACCCAAATTCAAATATAGCAGATGCAATAGTATATAAGAAAGTAAGACAAAATCAAACTAACAAATGTTAGTGGTATATCATTCATCGTAGACATATCAGAAGAATGACAATATCTCTTTCGGTTTCGCGGGCACCACATCAAATATGGGTAATTGCATTAGAAAAAAACATCTCCCATGGAAGTCATAGGCCAATCCTGTACTTTAGAGCAAATTGCTTTTAATTTGAGACACCATTAGAGGTGGCATAAACAAAAAAAGGAAAGGAAAATCCCAAAAATCTCGCTCTGTCTCTCCTTTCGAACCTCTTCCCAGACTACTACAAAACGATACAGTTCTGTTGTCCACGCCAAACTCTTTCTCTATTAGGGCTTTCCCCAATCAACAAACTGTGCATCACCCAAGTGTCGAACTCGTAATCTTGGTGACGGTAGTCTCGAACTCGAAGAAGAGGGAAAGGGTTTCCCTGCTTGCGAGTGAATAGGAGGAGTTAGCGTTGTTGACGTTGACGCGGTGACCGGCGGCGAGCTTGGCGGCGACCGGTGGCGCTGGTGGCACCCTAGCTCACGCCTCGCGGCGGCCGAGCTCGCACAAGAGGCGATTGACGGAGGAACAAGAGAGCTTCTCTCTCACGCGCGAAGAGAAGAAAGAGAAGGGAGGACCTAACGCCATGGCCGGCGATGCCTCCGATGGTGAACAGCGGTGCTGGCGATGCCTTGGACCGCGACTCGCGACAACCGATTGGGTGGAGGCTGAGGCGGACGCGCATGAGCGGAGGAGATGAGCGCTTCTGGGGTTCCTCTGGTTCCCTTTTGGTTTAAAGTGGAGGATGTAGAGACCAATTGGTCTGGTAGGAGAGGCGAAAAGCCTAATGGGTTTCGGAGTGGTAGAATGCCCGTCTTTTCTAGGATTAATTCCTCTTCTCCCAGTAACCAAATCATTAATTCTCTTTCTCTAATCTTATTTCAGTAAAAATGTTTTAATCTGAAGAATTTTACCTTCAGTTGAGGGAGAAAGGGTGCGTGTCTGGAGAATGAGGGTTTGAGGGTTGAAGTTGGAAGGAAGTAGTTTAGGTGGAGGAGCGGAATAGGTGAAAGGTAATAAGTGATTGGAGGAAAGAAGAAGCACCACACATGGATTTGATGATTATAAAATACATCACATGTTCAATTTAATGCACAATGTCACGCCATCAAAACATAAAATATAACTCATTTTTACAAAAAATATGATCCAATTGAGACTGATGTAAAAATGAAAACCCGATTAAGATTACCATACAAAATTGGGATGAAGCGAGGGTTTAAATCTAATAAATAAAAGAGCATTTTATCTTAAATTGAAACTTCACCGAAACTTGAATTTTCCTTTTTGAAAGTGATTCTTGAGATAAAAGCTCTGATTGGACACATCGAGAACGTTGCATCGAGTAACAACTACCGAATAGCAATGATCGAGAATGACAAGACTACAAGTTGTGGTGCCGCCATGGTTTACGCTTTTTGCTCAAACATTTGGAAACTATGCACACCCATCCATATTCAATGTTAAAAGCACAACTTACACAACTTGTGCTACAAAAACCAACAAATCCCATTATTGTGCCTCAAGGACCCACAAATTACACTTATATTTAAAACATAACAATCACAATATTATTATAAAAAATTATCAAAAAAAATTATTTAAAATTTTTTCCTTAAAATATTTGGCTACTTGCAAGCTCTTGGTCCCAGAATGCTTTCAAACCCAAAAGTGAACTAGAAGTGTCTATCTGAATATCTGCTTTATTTTTTAACTCAATTTAATTTCCATAGCATGTGGGGTCTCTCTCCACGTGCTGTAGGACCAATCCATTTATAGAATTAATGTTCACCACCTGCCATTGTCCTTTCCTTGAATTCATCCTTTCATTAGTTCCACATGTTTTCGTGATGTGATGAAAATATCTTTTAAGGCAGAATGTTGCATTCCACATTTGTGAATTGGACAATTGGTCAAATATCACAGTGAATAAGTTTCTGTTGTGTTAGTGTTACTCTCCTTATCCTTTCTTTTCCCTGTCTACTTTAGGCTACACAAGAAGAATATTCCTTTCAGATCAAAGTGAGCATCAACAATGGTTATTACTGCACTTTTGAACTAAATATCTGAAAATCAAACACTTGCAAGAGATTGAAGATTCCACTACCATGCTCTTTGCATGGCATGGCAGGAAGTCACAATGGCCTAGTACTTGAACTAATTCTGTATAAACTATGCTCTTCCTTAATCCTTTTCTCTCATAAATTTTGAATTCTACAACTTCATTGGTAGCTATCATCAGATTAAACATCATGTTCATAGGATATTTTTTGCTTTCTGCCATTTCTACCTCCTCCTTCTGGAATTCTCTCCTTTTCTTCCTCTATATCTTGGAGTAGGTTCACCTGTCTTCACACCATGATCAAGAAAATACAAACTCAATTAAGTCTCATAATAATGCATGAGAGATATTATGCCATGTAATGTATGATGCACATGAATTGGAACTTTCACAAATACCAGCCAAAAATCTGAGATAAATTAAGCAGAAGACTAAAGGGAATCACTTACCATCTTCACATACCTCACATACTTCATTGTTTTGTATCCTCACTCATTGGTAATGATAGTTTACATGACCGACCTTGTGGACACGAACAACATAAAAGACACCTCTGATTAAAAGACTCGATGAAAGATTCAGCTTGAATAAACTATCTTTTCCCTTAACCAATACTCCAAACAGATAATGCAGATTCTTGTTGAGTTTAATTTCCATATACTTTGAGTCTAACACTTCATTTTTCATGTGTATGCCATTGATGATATATGATGTATCAAATGAAATATAAGCAAAATGCAGTATATACTAACCCCAAAACAGAAATTCTGGTAACTGGTATCAAAGACAGAGGAGTCCTCTGCCTTCCCAAATTTCATCTCAGTGGAATTGCGTTTATTTGAACTAGAACTTTCACTGTAAGTCATGTAAGCAGATGAATTAGAGCAATCGGCAGAAGAAAGAGAGGGGCTTCCATCCAATCCAATATCAGCTTGAAACATGTCTTCAAACAACTGATGCAACTCCTCAAAGCTCTCCTCTCCATTTTCCTGTTATTTCACATATAAATTCATCAATAGTCTATGCTCAAATACGCTTCTAGCACCAACCTTTAGATGCTTTCAATTTTTTCAAACTTCTACTAGATTATCATACCAAGGATCATTCTTTCAAAACTAGCAAAAACTCAATGGAGTTCTCAGACCGATAGTCACAGTTTAAAATATACAACAAGAGTTAATTTAGTTTTACATGTATGGAAAACACGTTATTGAAAACTTTGATGATTCTAATTTAGCCAAGAATGATAAAAGGCGTGTTGGCTAACTGGCCTTCAACTACTTGCTGTTTTGGCATGCTGCAAGAAACTTCATTATTAAATTTTTTAGGTCCAACAAGAAACTTCAATAATAGCCTTCTGATTTCTTAGCATTTGGTTAGGTCGCCAGTCCAAAAAGGAAAAGAAAAAGGTGGCTTGGTGACAATGGATTGGTCCATTCATGACAATAGAAAAACTATAAACTACATAGTATTTGACAAAAACAAACACTATGTGTATGTCTAGCTTTATCCACCAAACCAAAAGTACATATAAAACAAACAACATTGAAACTGCATAGCTTTCTGACCCAACACCCCACAAAGTAGATGATGACTCACATTTGATTTGGTCTGACTCATCATTGTTAACATTTCGTCCAAAAAGTCCCCCATGCCCTGCAAAAAAGAAATTAATTGTTTGATCAGATCAACAAAATTATGGGATCACGAACAAGATTCAGTCCCCTCCACCAAAACCAAACTCGATTCGATGAATTATTCCCCTCTCACTGAATTCTATAAGCAACATGCCCATGTGATCTGTGACACACAAATTGACTTGTAACAAAGCTTGTGCCTTTGTTTGTGACAATCCCAATGAGTACAGCCAAGTTTTTGTAGGACTTATCGGATTCTTATTACTCCCCGAGAAGATGCCCCTTTTAACAGGAAAATAAAAACATGGACGGTGCAAAAAACAGAAACGTGACAAGACTGCAGGACAACAATAACACTCATGCATTCACACAATCTAATCATCACCGTTGAGTGAAAATCAGACCCTTCAAATCTCATGCATATTATCTTCATTCACTTATGCTGATTAGAAAAACAGAACAGTATACAAATTAATAAAAAAATACGTCACTTCTATACTATTTCTGTAAAAGTTAAAACAACCTTAACAATTCAACGGTATACGATGATTGAATCACAAATCTACACTATTTGCTCTCCTTCCTTATTTCAATTTAGAACCCCCACTGAAAAAATATAAATGCATGGAAAAACAAGATTTACCCTTAAACACATAAAATAACAAAATTGCAAAAAGATAGAACCAAATTGGTTACTTCGAGAAAAAGAGGGTCAAACTGAAATTGCTTCTATTCGAGGCAATAAAACATAGGGATGAGCGGACCTCAGGGCATGGTTACTGTAGAAGATGGCATGAGATGAGGTGAATGACTTACGTTTTCGTCGTCATCACTATCGTAGACACCAACGTCGTACATTAGCCTTTTGTTGGCGTCAGATAAAACTGTCACAGAGGAAAAACACCATTTACACCAAATAAACAGCACAGGAATGAGATTTCAAACAAGAGCAAAATTCAAACTTTTCTTTAATTTTTAGGAGAAAATGAACAAGTCAATCATGGGTCAATGTTCAATCGTGGAAACATCTAAAGGGCATTACCAGAATAGGCTTCCCCAATTTCCTGGAATTTCTTCTTAGCTTGTTCCACTAACTCTGAATTCCCAGATGCAGCACAACGATCCGGGTGCCACTTCTATCCCATAAAAAAAAACAAAACATCATTCACAACGGCTAATATTTAAGAAACATGGTTCAGAGAAGAGAAAAGAAGAACAGAAAAAGAACCATTTGGGTTCAATTCAAACCTTTGCAAGTTTCTTATATGCCTTCTTTAGCTCCAATTCAGTGCACTCCTTGTTCAACCCCAAGATCGTATAGAAGTCATTGCTTTTGTTTCCTTCATTAGCCATTGCTATTCCCACCGCCACCAACAAACCAAACTTCCTACAAACCAACCACACCAAAGGAAAACTCTCCACAGAACCAATCAATTATCAAACCAAGGTTTCTTGTCGACGAATTGAACTAACACACGAACTCCGTACAACCATAACATTAAAAAAGAGACACCAAAATCACACCACAACAGCAATATTAATACTACTGTCAAGCAAATGGTATAATATATATAAAATATATTATTAAACTTTGATGGCAAGTTGGGTTTGGTGCTCTACATGTTTTTGTGAATAGGAACACGGAACTCAGCACTTGCTTTTGATTCCGTGGAGTGAAAGGTGAAGAGCAAAAGAGGATCTCATGAACACTCCAGAACCTCTAACCCTGCCTTGCACCTTATATAGTTTTTTTTTTTTTTATTTGATTTTCTTACTCTTTAAAGAAAATTTTAAAGTATGATAAAATCCCCTTTTAGTAATATCTAGTTTCGCCTATTCTTTGTAGAAAAATCTTCAAAATTCAACAACTTTGATCGTGTGTGTGTGTATATATATATATTATTCAACTTTTTTTAGAAAGATGTATAAAAATGAAAACTTTTCTTTAATAAAATGGATAAAAATAAACAAATAATTGATAAAAAGCAAGGTAGTTGGTTTGGACTATGTATGAGGATTGAGGGTGGTAATAACGTAAGGCTGAGATTCTGTGGTAGCTTAGATATTTCATGGGAGAGTGTGTCCAGAAGGTTCTTTCTCTGTGAATGTGAAAGTGTTTTTTTTTTCTGTGGATGTGAAAGTCCTTTTCTTAATGAGTTTGTGAGTTTTAAGAGGAAAGAGAGAAGAAAGTTGGATCTAATTGTGGGTCCCACTGGTTTATCAAGCTGTTTAACAGCTTGGAGAATTGATTGCATTGTCACTGTCTTATAGCACAGAAAGAGAAAAAGGTTAAGAACTGAACTCACTTTTCGAAAACAGGTTATGTTTGTGCAAAATATAGATACTTTGATTACAGACCTATGTTATTATGAACCTATAATTTTAAAGATCAACTTCACACTATAAATCAAGAATAGTTTCACTCTTGCATTGTCTCCCACGTTCAGATCCTTAATGGTCACGATCCAGAAATATACTATTTCAATTTTGACAAAAAGAAAAATAAAGTGACACTATGGAACTTTGGAAGATGAGGCCAATAAGCACCCAAAGTTGGGACATCATGGCATGTCGTCAGCATTCATTGTATGTTTGCATGCAAGGTGAAAAGAACAGAATACTACCTCTTCTGTGTAATTTTCTCACCAAAACTTATGCTGTTTATTTAACTAACCCACCATGTTCCAAATCTGTCACGATTTCAATATAATTTTATAAATTTAAATAATGTTAAAGTAACAAAATTTTTGAAATTGAACAAAAGTTATATAATATTTCTACACATTCTAAGCCGTTGTGAATGGTCCTTTGACCGAGTTCCGATCGGTTCTAGTAGATCGTTATCACTGACACATACTATCCAATCAAGATAAGTATTACTTATTAATCAATCATGCGGACAAACAGATCAAATGGACTGCCTCTAACAGTAAAAATCTTTAAAAATTATTTCTAATCAAGATTACTAGTAAAAATTGTTTACTAGATAATAAATCATGATTAAAATTTTACGAATTTAAATTTTTATTATAATCTCCTCCGCTCGAATTAACCACTTACTTTGAACATCAGAGTATTTTTGTTTGAGTACACTCAAACGATTTTGGAACGAAAAAACTTTAACTGAAAACATTTAAAAATACCTTTAACTGACTTGAAATAAAGTATGAAAAACCTACACCCAAAGTGATAATTCTTTACATTACTTCTGCTTAATAATATATACTAAAGTTGTATCACCTTACACGATTTCTTCACAAATGAAATCATATTTAACACGACTAGCCCATTTGTAATTTTTTCTTAAACTGTCCATTTCAATGATTTTGAAAAAAGAAAATTATGCCATTTTAATATTTTTACGGTAAAAAGAATTGCTCAAACACAGACTTTGACAGATACATTTTGGTAAGTTTATCAGATAATTTCTTGCAGCAAACCAGAAGAGTGATATTTTGAAGTTTTGGAACTATTCTTTCATCTCATGTGATGTAATGAAGTAGACATGATGTATGATCCCGTGGGCCCAGAAAGTGTTGAACCACAAGAGTTATGGCAGTGACAAAGACAAATAGTCCTTTGATATGTGTATATATATAAATATGTGTGTGTATATATATGTCTCTTGGTGGTGGTGGTCCCTATGGCCATGTAGGAGTAGAAGTTCCTCGAAATCACGTGCCAGAACGTGACACAATACCACACTATGTATGATTCTGTACAAGATACGACCATCTTCAATTCTTCATCACAAGCATGCACTTAAAGGTGATAGGAGACATTGTCTTGCAAGTAGAAGGAAAAGGTTCATATGTGAAGATCGTGGACTAATCCTGGCCTTAGCTTGCTTCAAGACTCTACCACCTATATATAACCCTTTTTTTTTTACCATTTTTATCACTAGTTAATCTTTTATTTTTATATCTAAATTCCCCATTATGTCACTGTTGTTTGAGTTTGATTAGACTGGTTTTAATTGGGTGTCATTGTTGTTGTTCTTTGTTAGTATTTGGATGTTTTTTTCTTCTATTAATTCTATGAATAATAAAAAAATAAATTCTTTTCTAATTCTAAACTTATGTTAAAGTTCTTCTTTTTATTTTACATTTACTATATTGATCAAAATTGAAGAGTTACTAGCAGTATTTAATGTCAAAGTCAATAAAAATTCAACAATATAATAATAACTTTATATTAAATATAACTAACTTATCATAGTACTTTCATCTTATATTTATAAATTTTATAATAATATTTAGATTTAACATAATCATCTTTACGGATTCTCTAGTTAAACTGTCCAAATTTAAAGTGATTAAATAATCATACTATATAAGATGAATTTAGTTAAATTTGTTTTTATTTACTTTTACTTTTAAAAAGATGTAAGTTTAATTATTTTTCTAGTGTTAATCTCAAGTTTAAATAAAAATATTAAAATGAAAGTGCATCCACTTATCTCGAACTAGTGAATTGATTGTAATGTTAGGATTCTGAGAATTTTTGGAAAAGCGATGTATTTGCCCGTACACATCATATCACAAACTTTTTTTTTTCAATTTCAATGTATTAAGATCAAATACAATTCAATTATTATTATTTTCAGAAAGTTATTGTACATAGATGAAACCACTTTGTAGACTAAACCAGAATTTTCTATTTGAAAAAAAAAATATAGCATTAAGATTGAAGTGGGCAACAAACATTTCTGTCCACATGATTCTTTATGAAAACAGAGCGTATTTGGCGATCATTTCAGTCAAGATTATTGGCTCAACCCCTTATTAATAAGAATATGTAAGTTTATTTTTTCTTAATGTAAATTTATTTATTTTCTTAACTCTTATATAAGTTGTAAGGTAATGCACTAACAATTTATATTTTATTAAAGAAAAAGACATTAAGTTCTAAAGCTTTATCTCACCGTCATATTAGTTCATCAAGCTAAGAAAAATAGGCGAGTCCCTAGGCTTTTTCTAGGGTTTCCTATGAACTTCCTAAAAGTACCATTTTGTTCATCTTCATTTTAGTCCAAACTTTTAGAACTAGAGTGATAATAACATGTTTAGAAACAAAATGGAAAAAGAAGTGAATTTCATTTATTTCAATAATATATTTATAAATTTTGGAAACCTAATTTAGTTTTTCTTAACTTTAAACACTAATATTAGAATAAAAATACCATTTTTTATAGACTAAACTGTTCATTCATGTTGAAAAATTTAAATATGAATTTAATTCTCATTAAGTAAAGATAAAAAATGTTCAATAAAATATAAAGAAGAAGATCCATCAATTTAATATATATATATATTTTTCTAAAATAGGACATAGGAAAAGGAAAACCATATCCTTTCTTTGGTTGTGTTGTTGGAATGCAACCACAAGTTCAAAAAAATTCCCATCTCATCGTCTTAATCACCAAAAAGTTTGTGGGGGCACTCTATTTTGTTCTATACTTTTTAAAAACTATTTTATTTCAGCTGGGTAAACTTGACCAAATACTCAACAAACAAGGCTCATGGCATTGACTTCTTATGGCAATTTGCAACTTGTTTTCACAACTTGCACATTGAGAGACATCAATTTCCAGTTCAATGCAGCCAAAATGCATCCCTTTTTGTTTAGTTACTTATGTGGCCCCATAGATTCTAATCACACTCCAATTTTAGTAACAATAATGCAAAAAAAGGAAAAAAGAGAACAAGACAGAATATAGCAAGTTGTTGCAGCAAGAATAGTAATTAACTGTCAAGTGGCTTTACCGTGACACAGAAGGACATTTTATTATTATAAGAATCAATTCACCAAGTCCCTTTCAATTGCAAAGTCCAAAGCTAAACACAACTTGCTCCTAGTTTTGCTCTTATGTACAAAGAGAGAAGGGTTGATCCTAAGTTGCAGATATTGTTGCATCACTGAATAACTTTATTTGAAAATTCATCACTGCATTAAGAAAAGTGTCATATAGTAAGTTTATCTATAAAATCACACATTAATTTGAAATTGTTTATTACTTTATTAATATACATTAAGGTTTATTACATACAAAACACCAAACATTTCTTATTATTGTTTGAACTTTTACAAATAAATATTTATAATTTAAGGATTAAATTAGTAAAACTTATATTTTGTATAAAATTAGTTAGTGGCACATCAGTATTGACTATTCTTTCTTTTTTCACAGGTATCCTTCTTCATGTCAAGATCAAACACTAAACTTCAGCACTTCTCTCCTCAAAGATTCAAGATTAGTTCTTCCTTCATGCATTGGGCCAAATTTTTATTGAGATGAAATCTATGCATGTGTTATTGGTATTATGATAGAACTATATTTGAATACATGACTGCATGCAAAGCATCTAAACCCCCTACAACTAGCCAATTCAAGTGGATCGTCTATGTGTATTCTTGTTCTAGTTACAATTCAACCAAAAACGATTTACACAGGCACTGCCCTGTCATAGAAAACTAATACCAGAAAGTACTTACATGAAAGATATTCATTCTAATCCATTCATATACATAATTAAGTGAATAAGTTAAGTGAGGTATACTAAAAATATTTATATCCAAAGAGTACATTTAACATAATAAGATCAAACAGTATCAACCTTGTAATTTCTAAGTTTATCTTATTAGGATCTTCAGTCATTATGACTGATAGCACTGATGAGATAAGATATCTTCTGCTGAAAAAAAGCAGCAGAAAAGTCATAAAAGATATCTATATCCCACTGGTTTATCAACTGTTCAACTTAAAGTTTCGTCAAGATAACGAGGAGTGGGTAGTGGCATATACTTCAAAAGGAATATAGAAGTCTTCTGGCCCAATTATAGATTCCATAATAAATCAAAATAAAACTATGATATTTTCTTTATCTTGACATTAGTCCAAAAAGATCTATTATCTTTACTAACGACTGATCTCTGTTGAAATACCAAGTTGACCACTTAACATATTCTTTCATCCGCGGAATTAAAAAAATGAGATTTCGTTTGAAAAAAATAAATAATCCAGTTCCATTCATGTTATTGATAAATAAATCAATTAAGTTTGATTCGAAGCAATATGTCACGAATACATCCCTCTCTTCTAAACATTCTCAATTATCTATTTTTAGCTTAAATTTATTACAAAACACAAAATTAAAATTGAGACTTGGCCAATTTGTTTTAAAGTTATGCATAACTTAAAATAGTGAAATGATTTTGAATTAATAAACAGCTGAAATTTGCTTTTCGATTGAAAAGCGGGATAATTGATTTTCAACAACCTAGGATATAGATTGCCAGCATTTCACATTTAGTAACCCTTTCTTAGCAGAAGGCATCATTTAGTTGGGAAAACTATAGTAATCTACTAATATTCTATAGCATGAGAAGATTATAATTGCAGGAATCAGCTTTAATTTGTGTATGGGTACAAGACTAACTGATAATGATATTTGCCCCCTATGACTAGGTTAGTAGCATTGCACATTTCTATCAAATTCATTCACCACAGTTAATTGATGACCGACAATCCAATTATGTCAGCAGTATTGTCAAGGTGACAATAAGTCTTGATTCTTCTGCTGTGAACATGATGAAAACAATGAATTTTGTTCTTCGAAAGTGCTTACATTATTGGATCTACTATAGCACTCAATAATACAGTCTTTGTATCGGTACTTTAATAACTACCAAATATATTTTTCCATTAGGAGCCATCAAATGATACATTGTTATTACAAAAAAGGGCACTCTAGAAGAAGAGGAAAATTCTTGATTTTTATGTGTAAACTATTCACTTCATTCTGTCCTCAAGGCTTTGATCCAATCAAGATCAACTCTGAAATCACCTGGTCCAGATCTAGCACCTGGGACACCACCCTCAGCATTGACAGACAAAGACATGCCCAAAATACGCGATGGATTCATTTCCAAATCTGCATCTATAACATTCCCTCTCCAAGTAGGTAAATACCGAGCTAGAGGAATCTGGCAATCAATGAATGTAACATGCATGTGATACCCATCACTTGTGTTGATTTAGAAAATCAACCAGGTACAAACAACACAAAGAAACTCTTATGTCAATAGGCAATGCCCACTAAGTAGATTACACGATGTCATTGCACTTGGATAAAGAGCATGAGTGATCCGTGTTTAGTATATTGACAAATTATGTGGGATGCAGAGGATCTACACAACCCTCCTTTATCGGGGCATGAGACTTGATTATGAAGCCATAGACAGAGCTTAACCATGTACAAAACCTAGCAAAATTCTATTATATGTTGACATATTGTCCACCCAACTTCAAAAATAAGATCGGTGCACAACAAGACCTATTTTGCTCACTAACAAATAACAATGTTGATATTTGATACTTATATGAATAGCAACCATGACAGTTGAAGACATGAGTTGTTCCAAAAATGAGCAGCACAGAAATTATAATGTTAAGCATAAGATCTATAGAAACAATCAACATTTCTTATGCAAAAAAGTTCCTTCCTGAAAACTACAAATATGGTACCACTAGAAAATTGTATAGAAAATTTTGAAAATCACACATGAATAAAAAATCCATACTTTATTTAATTATTGTGATATTAACATCTTTATTGGTATTGAGTTAAAAAAGAATAGAAAAGAAAAAATAACTTGTGTTAGTTAAAAGTTGAAATCCTGTGAACTCTCCAACATTTACACGAGTCTGATGCAGTTATGACACAAACAACTATTGTTTTGAAGTGTTTACACTTCCTTGGCAGCCTCCAGTAATATATAAGAAGCTTTCGAACTTATAAATTCCATGATCCAGTGTTAATGCTCTAGAGATTTATAATCAAAGCAAAATAATTAGTGTACTGTTATGCTTTGATTCCAGGAATTGTATTCCTAATTACACCTAGACCTTTTATAAACATTGTAGTAGTAAGGCTTCTAAGGAAGTAGATGGAACGCTACAAAGGTAATGTGCTGATGTGCAAAATCTTTCGTTGCATCTGATTTGAGTAGTTCAAGTCCTTATTTTCCCAAAGAGAAACCTATAATTTTCGCCACTTAATTTGGCACAACTAGTAAAATAATGTATAGAAGGAAAAATGGTCATAACTTGTAAGCAACAGAATACACATCACTCAAAGATAAGTTATCTGAGCAGACGTCCTACAAAAGCGAAGGCTTTAACAACACAATGAAAACCTGGTCAATCATAAGTATGTTGTAAGCAGTGAGAAGCAAATAGAACTTACCTTTGTAATGTACCAGTTGCCTTCAGGCACATAAACAAAAGCTTGCCATGAGTTATCTTCCATCTGTCCAGGTGAATTGACCCAATTCTCCGTGTAGATCTGCACAAAAATCACCAAAGGTAGAATACTCATAACATCACCCGAGAAATGAAATTTTTAAGCCCCTCAACCTCTAGATTTCCTTGCATAATATAAATGGCAACGAAAAAGTGCACTCACAGTAGATATATAACATCTTCCATCTCCTTTAAGTTTCATCGCAATGGTATCATATGAATCCAAATCAATAAAACCATCAAACTGCAGACACAAAGACTTGTGTAAGAATAACATTTAATATAGAATTTCTCTTCCACACACTGTCAGCGTAAAGATTCTTCCACAATCAACTGATCAGAAATACTCTTTGGATACGATTTTTAAAATAGTATAAAACTGAACAATCTTATTACACTTCAAAGATGACAATCTCGACGATATAATGGTTGCCAAAAACCCTTTACAAGTTACTTTGCAAGTGCATTCTAATTAATTTTTTTGGTACAGAAAAAAAAAATCAGCACCAATAATCACATTAACAGAATCCAATATGGTTGTTTTTGAAGAAATTAACCTTTTTAGAGCGCATTCCACAGAAGCCACCCCGAGTAATTTTCCATTTAGAGCCCTCAGAGACATCCAGAGAGAGGTTCCCGGAGAAGATTCCAGAAGTTACTCCATTCTCCGACTCAGTTATCTGCAGAGACGCAGAGGACAAACCTGGGTAACAAAAACATTTAAAACCCCAAAAACTGAAACGATGAAAGAATAAAAAAAAATGCAAACTTCACAATAATCAATTGAGTAGTGGCACGAAACGAGGCACCCCACCTCCAAATTCGGAATCAGAATACAAATGCCACTTGCTTAACTCTTTCTTGGAATTGAAGCTGAAGATGGGTCTCTCCGGTGGTGGCATCAAATCATCAAGATTACCGGATAAAGCTTTTGTTCCAATGCAGAAAAAGAGTTAGAGAGAGAAAATATTTTGAATGAAAGAGAACAAATTAAAGATTGAGAAGAAAAAGAACCTCTCTTGGTAGCATCAACCGAAGCTTGTATCAGTCTTCGCAATCTCGACATCTCTCCCTCTGTTTGTCACTACGGCCACCACCAACAGTGGCGACAGCTCCAACCACCAGGCTTATCAGTAAATGGGCCTTCTTTTTTGGGCTTCTTCATCTTTAGGCCCAACTTTACAGCCTAAAATATTGTGTCTGTAAGTGTAGTTTTAGGACAGATTATAATTTTGTTCCATTTGTCTCTATCTTTTTCTTAAGATTTTAGTTCAGACATAGTAAAAAAATAAGTAATTTCAGTTTCGTTCTAGTTAGGTGTTTTTATTTTATATTTGATTGACTAAATAATTTCTTGATGGTACCCAAAATGAAAAAAAGTTAGATATATAGTTTAAATGGATGAAAAAAAATAAAATAAACATGATTATTTGAAATTGATTTTAATTAAATTTAAGTTCATGTTAAATTTGATTATTTTTAATTGACTTTATATAAAAAAAATTTGAATATTAAGTATTCAAGATTTTTGTATTTTACAATTAAATCTTTATCATTTAATTTTTTTTCATTGACATGTGACGAGATTGTTATTATGTTTTATTATTTTGCTTACCTAAGAAATGTAAAATTTTGTGTTTGATATAAAACGATATCCTAATTTCTTTACTTTCTAAAATGAAGAATTATAAATTAAGTTCTTTACTTTACTTTTATTTTTTCTTAAGGTATTTTCATCAACCAAAGAAAGTGTAAAAGTTAATATTAGCATAAATTGTCAAATATTTATTTAACATTTATGTAATGATTTTTAATTGAATGAAGGCGTGAAATAAATTTATATTGACAATAGATAACTTATGCTAATTTAATAACAAGAAATTATGTTAATTTAACTAATAAGAAATTAAGTAGCTGAAATGTTAAAATTATCAGTCAAGTGGCTAAAATTTCAAAAGCACAACTCACACTTTAATTTATGATTGTTTCAATCGACACCTCCTATCATTTCATTTTGTATCTTCAAAACTTTTTAAAATTTCAAAACTGTCATTTATAATTCAAAAAATTCTAAATTTCATAGTTTCATCATATTTTAAGATTCGGTAAATGATTTTTTCTTTATTAAAATTTAAAATCTAATAAAAAGAAATTTCAAAATTATTCAACAAAGAAAAATTAATTTCTAAGGTTATTTTCGAAAATTAGAGATGCAGACGGAAATGATTGAAACAGCCTTAATTTATATAAGTAATTTTTTTATTAAAATAGTATCAATATTAAATGATTAAATTATATAAGAGAAGAATTAAAGAAGATCACCTCCATATCGGTTGTTATGTTCTGTTTAGGTCAATGGCACGAAAGAAATGAATATTTTCTTTATCTTTACAGTTCTAAAACCACAAGCACTAAAAGAATGTGACAGAGATGCTAACACATAACTAAAAACAAATAAATAAACCAGTTAGATACCTACATTTTAACTACCTCTGTTCCCTCTTAATTGTTGTAAAGAGAAACATCAACCAATCACTCAAAGCATGCACCTTTTGTGCTTGTCAAAAACAAAAAAACATGCATCTTTTGTGACATGTATATTATCGTATGCAGTTATTTTTCATGTCTTAAAAATAAGGTTTTGAGAGGAACCTGGCATTAGTTGCTACCTTTAGGGACCTATGAAACATGGGAGGGTTAGTAGTACTGATATGCATGGTTGTTTCATGGATGTTCATACATAGATGGAGTCAAAGAAACAAGAAAGGTCCAAAAACTTGGCCCTTTTTTGGAGCTGCTATTGAACAATTGATGAACTATGACAGAATGCATGATTGGCTTGTCAATTATTTGACCAAATCAAAAACTGTTGTTGTTCCTATGCCTTTCACAACTTATACTTACATTGCTGACCCTAATAATGTAGAACATGTACTCAAGACCAACTTCAATAATTATCCTAAGGTAATCTACATCAAATGTTTCAGTCATACTACTTTTACTAAATAGTGCATGCATGCATACATGGTAAATCTCTTAACTCTTACAATAATTGTCTTAAAAACCATATTAAGAATGTTCTTTTATTGTTCAACTGTATAAAAGGATTTTACTCTTTATCTGCATAATGAAAGTTTTTGATGGAAAAGTTTGTGGTTTTGATTGCAGGGTGAAGTGTACCATTCATATATGGAAGTGCTTCTTGGAGATGGGATATTTAATGTTGATGGTGAGACTTGGAAGAAGCAAAGGAAAACTGCAAGCTTAGAGTTTGCATCCAGAAATTTAAGGGAATTTAGCACAAAAGTTTTCAGGGAATATGCCTTGAAACTTTCTGCTATTCTCAGTCAAGCATCTATTCTTAACCAAGAAATAGACATGCAGGTTCTGCTACCATTCTCCATGTTCTTAATTTTGTTTTCAAAGTAGGAGATTTTGCAGTTGATGATGGTTGAAATGTTAATTACCAGGAACTGTTGATGAGAATGACTTTGGACTCCATATGTAAGGTTGGATTTGGAGTGGAAATTGGAACACTGTCTTCCAATTTACCAAAGAACAGTTTTGCCGATGCATTTGACACTGCAAATATCATAGTAACACTTCGTTTCATTGATCCACTTTGGAAGATTAAGAAAATTCTAAGTATAGGCTCTGAAGCACAACTTGAGAAGAGTATCAAAGTTGTTGATGATTTCACCTACTCAGTAATTCGGAAAAGGAAGGCAGAGATAGAAGATGTCAGAAAAAGCGGGCAACAAAATCAGGTAGCTTTATATCCTAACCACATAGTAAACATCAAACATACATTGATTCATGACCTATGTTAAAAAAACAGATGAAGCATGATATATTGTCAAGATTCATAGAACTAGGAGAAAGCAATGCAACGGACAAGAGTTTGAGAGATATTGTGTTGAACTTTGTCATTGCTGGTCGAGACACAACTGCAACAACCCTGTCATGGGCCATATACATGGTAATGACACATGCTCATGTTGCTGACAAACTTTACCTTGAGCTGAAACTTTTTGAGGAGAATCATGCAAAAGAAGAGAACATTTCCTTGCCTCAATTTGACAAAGAGGACTCAGAATCATTCAATCAAAGAGTAGAACAATTTTCAAGGCTTTTGAATAAAGATTCACTAGAGAGATTGCACTATCTGCATGCTGTGATAACAGAGACCTTAAGATTGTATCCAGCAGTTCCTCAGGTGTGCATTTTCCTACATTGATTTAGTTCTAGTTATGAAAATTCCATAAAATGTGAGGCAACTTTTGAACTATTGCTCAGAAAACAAGTTGGTTTTAAGCATGTTAGTTGGTTTAAGATAATACCTCACACTTAAAATGTGTTTTTTCTCAATTTTCTGAAGCCAACCCAAAAAGTGATTGACACCCTTTTCGATCTAAAATATTAAGATAATAAGTTTATGAATTTTCTATCTAAAGTGAGACTTATACTTATATTTGAATTCCTGAAAATGTATTAACAAGACACATTTTCTTGGTTTTATCATAAGCAAAGCACTTTCATGTACTTTTAAAGAGAGGTTCACTTCACTAAGGTTGTTGCTTTAATGTACTACTTTTTGTTTTATGAACAAGTTTTGTGAACATGAGTGTTGAATTGTAGGATCCTAAGGGCATATTAGAGGATGATGTATTGCCAGATGGAACGAAAGTAAAGGCAGGGGGAATGGTAACATATGTTCCATACTCTATGGGAAGGATGGAGTATAATTGGGGTTCTGATGCAGCTTCGTTTGTCCCTGAGAGATGGTTCAAAGATGGTGTTCTAAAAAACGAGTCTCCATTCAAATTCACTGCTTTTCAGGTACTTTGATCTCCTTAGAACTCTGTAATATGATGTGATTACAATCCAAAGTTGGTGTTTCTTATTTTCCTTTGCACCTATTATAGGCAGGTCCTAGGATATGCCTTGGCAAGGACTCTGCATATCTGCAGATGAGGATGGTGCTAGCTATTTTGTGCAGATTTTACAAGTTCAAGTTGGTGCCAGGTCATACAGTGAAATATAGGATGATGACAATATTATCAATGGCTCATGGTTTGAAAGTTACCATACACAAACGATGTTAGACACGTTTTCAGCGGTAATTAATATGTGATTAATCTTATCATCACATATTTTTAGCCTTTGAATAAATAAATGAATTGATAATAATATTATTATTAATATATAAAAGAATAAAATACTTTATAAATGTAAATGATATTCTGTGTACAACACACAATTATGAGTAACCTATCCTGTTCTATATATTTTAAGGAAAATAATAATAATAATAATTATTATTATTATATAAAAAATAATAATGAATGATAAGACATTCAGTTTTAATATTTGGAGAAATCTTTTAATTTTATTTTTAAATAGTAATGTGAGTGTTAAATTTAATCTTAATTTTTGTAATTTATGTTCAATTCGGTCATTTTTTTTATAACGTTATCTAAATCACACGTCAATTCGTGATTATTTTTTATTTTTTTAAAAAAGAATTATAATATTTTTTTAAAAAGAATTATAATATTTTTTTAAAAAAAATTATAATATTTTTTTTAATTTTTTTAATTAAAAAAATTGTTCACGTGTCAAGTTAATATTATATCACATGACAATATCAGTACCATGTGTCAAGTCACGGGTCAAGTAAGTATTCATTTTGTTAATCTTTATTAATTTAGTTCTAATTTTTATTAACTTTGTTCAATTCAATTCCAATTTTGTTTTTCTTTAAATTGAGATTAAATTAAATTTTTATTAAATATATCTTTTATTATTTTTAAAACCAACTCTAACTATATTATTTGAATAAAATAATTAAATTTATGTTTTATTTTTTTCACATGTGAAAAATAGGGTTAGAATTGGTTTAAAAATAATAAACAAAAAAACAATAAAAAAATTTCATTCTAATTTTAAAAATAAATAAGAATTTACCTTCTAATTTTATAAATAAATTAGAATTTTTATTCTAATTTAAAAATAATAGATGAAATTTTTTTCTAATTTTAAAAATAATAAAAAATTTTCCTTCAAATTTTAAATATAATGAAGAATAAATCTTTTAGTTTTAAAATAATGAAAAAAACATTAATTTTAAAAATAATG